GTAGATTACACATACACGACTCGTACGGTATAGATTACACACGAATATGGCCCGAATTTCACGATTTTGTGGCAAAATACGGTCGTTTGCATTATTCCTACAATAGAGTTCGTGTACAAAGCCTGTCGTTGGTAGCTTGCGGACCCCTTAGTGTCCAATGACAGGACGAGGCGCCCTTAGGTCACGCCCCCTTTTCTTTTCGTACGCAACCGCTGATGCTGACGAGAGTATCACGCGCATCGACACGCAGTATCTAGTTAGAAGCCGTCTGCCCGAGAGTGAGGTTGTATATTTTGACTGCTCCGTACCACGATGTCCTGCTACTACGTTCCCAAATCATATAATGAGCAGAGGGATGGAGAAAGTTGTAAACTTTTCTGCGATAAGAAGGGAGAAGTATTGACATCACTGGACTCTGGAAACAAAGACACCTTGTCGGTGGACGGGAAATATGGTCTTCCACGTTTCAGCGATGATAACATGGTAACGGATTCAAAATTACCGTTTCACGACAGGGAGAGTAGAGGAGAAACGGTGAAAGACAGTAGGGTACACTCGGAGACACATGGGGGAACCTAGGAAACTGTTGACGGATTTAAGCCAGATTTACTGCCATGAAACAATGATCAGCGGCTACATCAGGATGGCTTCTTTCCAGGACTGGCCAGAACAAATGGTTCAAAAAGGAAGGCAGCTTGCCCGGAGAGGGTTCTTTTATACGGGCGTTGCGGACACGGTCGTGTGTGCATGGTGTGGTTTACGACTATGGAAATGGTGTGCAGAAGACTATATAGACTTTGAACACAACAGGTTCAACCCTTCGTGCGCATTTCTCAAAATCACGTGCCCCGTCAGGTTTGATACTGACATGAGAACTGTTTTGAGTAGAAATGTAGTTGTGCATATTTACGAATAAAATTTGTGAAATGTTGTTTTTACTAGCCTCTGTTGTGTTTTATATAAAAGTGTTGACGTTGTCTGCCTCGTGGGTATATTTTGGAGTGGTTTAAACAATGAAGGATACGGTGCTTGCGCAGTCTAGTATTGTAGAGAGCTTTACATAGACTGCCCGACTCAACATCTTCTTTGTTGTATTTGGTAGAATATAACTGCCTTCCCGTGTTGTATTGTAGAGAGCTTTACATAAACTGGAGGGCGTGTTATTTTTGAGTGTCTTGTTTACATTGCTTTACATTGGCAGCACAACATTTACAGACCTCCTTCAAAATTCTTATTCGTTCCCGCATTGGGTTTACGATATAAGGTAAAGAACGTAACACTACTACTCTTGCTGCTTTGCTCTTGCTGCTTTGCCGTAGAATATCTCCGTCTCACCGTCTTGTTTTTGTTTCAGATGTAGAATGATTAAGATGTCTAGGTATGTCTTACCGTCTTGTATTGTAGAGAGCTTTACATAGACAGCACGGGGTGGCCTCCTTGTGATTAAATATACTACACATCTAGGTATGTCTTACGGTCTAGTATTGTAGTTACATCGAAGAGCTTTACATAGACAGCACGACATTCCCCAGATCCTGCATCAAATTGCTGAAAACTCATCATGCATATTATTGGTTTAAAGTTTTGCTAATGGTGCATTTATGATTTGGAACTCATGACAATAAAACGTTACGAATTTGTTTTACGTCTGAGAGCAATTGAGAACCTTTACACAGTATGGAATATTGACGGACAGATTCTTATGGTCGCCACTTTTTGTTATTGGCACGCTAATGTGCATTTATGACGTCATCAGTAGATGTCACACACACACACACAATACACGTACGCGCACACGCACACACCTGGGGCGCGTTGTTTAGCCGATACGCTGTGCAGCGCTGCGCTTCTATTGGCTGAACAACGCCTCGCTGCATGCATCGCAGCGCTTCGGCGTGCAGCGACTGGGAGAGGTGCTTCCCGCGTAAGCGAGCGACATTTAAAATGGCGTCACGGCATGTCATTTTGCAAGGTCGCAGAGGAAACTTGTCCCTTCTGGTCACAGAGGAGCAGACAAAACGCCTACAAGAAGGTAAGTATGTGTTATGCTTTGTTTAGGTGTCGTTACCTACTAATAATAGGCATTTTTACTTACCTATTCATAATAAACGACGAAAACACTTCCATGACATTTGCTTGATCACCTTAGTTTGATTTCGAGACATAGATTTCTTTCCGGTAAGAGTTCCTCTCGTTCCCCCATCCCAAATAATGTTTCAAAATTAACATATACTAAATTCTTTAACAAAACTGAAAGGTCGGGATGCAAACCGTCAAACCCCCGTGGGATATGATATTCAAAATTTTGCTGAACTGTAGTCCTATTTTCATAAATCCTTTAGTATGAAAATCCTTTAGCATGTTAATGTGGATTATGTCAGATAGAGAGACCGGCAGATTTCATATTGTAATGTACCATGGTCATGATACCATCCTAAGGTAACAGTGGTGGGAAAAGTGTTTTTTGCAAAAAGTAATGATAGAGGTGTGTATTTGATAACCCCAAAGAAATATGCAAAAGAAAAATCTGATAAAAGAATGTACATTGTAGATATAATCTAATTTTGCATTTCACTTTTTGATGACAAAACTGGGAATTAGATTTAGTGACCACTGTTTACCAAAATCTATTAATATCTTGTTGATTAAAAGAATATAGAAGTGTTTTGTTTTTGTTGTTTTTAAAAAAAAAGGAATTTGTAATCTAATTAATTGCACTAGATATGTAATTGTAATTTAATTAATTACATTTTAATTCAAGGTGTAATTGTTATTGTCATTGAGGAAAATCAAAGTAAATGTAATTTAATTAATCACATTTAAAGTAATTGAACCCATGTCTGTTCTTTATGCTATGACTTAATATCCGCCTGAACCGGTGGGTCAGTTTTGTGATGTTTCATGGAATGTACTTGAATACACAACAATTACTAGAGAACTCACAAAAATGACTAAAAGTCCAAACTTTAAGTTATGTTTAGGTTTAGGGTTAGGTCTAAAGATAGGCATAGGTTTGGGGAAACGGAACATATTGTTGGCAATCCCCGTATCTATTAATAGCATAGTTGAACACTCCTCGCGTGGAGATAGAAAAAAAGTTACGCAGACGACAACAATGAGAATGGAGAAGAAAAGTGCTAGAAAACCCAACTGGATGGCCGAACAGACGTTGTACTTAACCCCCCTTGTTGAGGAAAACAAGGCTGTATTACTCGGCAAGTTTGGACCGGGCGTTACATCTGCTCGAAGGAAGGAAATTTGGACGTATATCACTAAGCAGATCAATGCCACCTTCACAGGTAAGTGACGATCGTAATTTTGAGTGCACTTTAAAAAAATTTCACCTTGTATATGTAACTGTAAAGTATTTGCCTCGTACAATAATTAATGTATTTTTTATTTATTTGTAAAGAAGTTAAACGTTGAAGTAAGTGCAAGTACGTTTTGTATCTAGTGCAAGAGATGGTTCATATATGCTATTTTCTATCACCCATCTCAAAACTTTGACGAGTGATATTGGATTTATGCATTCAAACATATTGTTTGTGCATATCAACTGAATATAATCACTTGAAGTAACAAATACTGAAGTCAAATGTTACACATCTTCTGTTGTAACAGCTTACAAATATACTACAACCAACGTGTTTAGTATGTTCATTGAAATAACATTAAAGTAAAGTATTTGGGCCAGTTCTGTTGTATCTAGTCAAATGTAGATTTTTTGTGTGAATGAAAATGATAACAGTAATGGTTGGTTTGACATGTTGATAATTCTTTAAATTTATCTTAGAAATATAGGTTGATATTCAGGTATTCATCAAGGCAGGTAAGATATTTCTATCGTAGGTTTTCATGTGAAGGGATCACACATGAAACATTCTATTTCACCCAAGTGTGAAGTACTGACACGTGTATCATTTTATTTTACCCAAGTGTGAAAGACTCACACATTATCATTTTATTTTACCCTGTGTGAAAGACTCGCACATCATTTTATTTTACCCAGTGTGAAAGACTCACACATCATTTTATTTTACCCAGTGTGAAAAACTCGCACATTATTGTACTGCAGTACTTTTCATGAAGAAATGACCCATTTGTTTTGTTTGCAAAATATTTCTCATTTGTACCATTATTTTATTTAATCAAACACTGACCCCTATGATTTATTGTTCATTATTTTGACTCCCTTAAAGCTTTTGAATGGCAGTCCATTATGTGGAGTTGGTTCAATTCCAACCAGAGGCATACACAGAGTCAAGGTTTATCTGTTTGCATGTTAATATTAACAATAGTAATTAGTATGTTAAAAATAGCACTAATATTGTGAAATGTGACTAATATTATTGAAATGTGACTAATATTATTGGGCCAAGTGGGCCCTTATCATACCTTCAGACTGATCCTTTGTTAATATCATAATTGGGTTGTCAATACCATTACATCATGAATGCACCATTGTGAATTTAATGTAAATGAAAATATTTCATTTCGTATTTGTTTCCTCAATTGTTTCATGAAATGTTTTTTTCATTTTCTCCCAGGGTGTGTCAGGACAAACGACGAAGTGGAGAAAAAGTGGCATAATGAGCTCTGTCAAAAAATCAAATGTTATGAAGATTATTTTAAAATCTGCAATAGCATATTTTGCAATTTTTAACTGGCATGTAAATAAATAACATGATATAGATGTAGATAAATAATCGATTCAGCCCTAAAGCATTCTTTTATGTTTACTGTCATTTCATTACGTATTTGACAGAAAGTTTTGATGTATTCTAGGATTGTAGATTGTGGTTAGGTCTAGGTCTACTAATGCCTACAGTGAATAATGCCTACAGGGAATAATAGCTACAACGTTTGCAGTGACAGCGATACGCTTACCTGCACACAAGTAGATTGTTCCACTTAGTGTGCACTATTGCCTACAAAGGGATTAGGGGAGGCCAGCAAGGAGAGTAAAGAGTAAGATCAAAGAGTATTAAATCGTTAGCTAGCTTATGTTTTGATAATTCCATACGCATTTAGTTCTCACACGAGAAGGAAATTGAAGAGTAAAGTAATTAATAGAGATTATTAAAGGGAGAAGGAAATGTATTGCTTTAAAATTGAAGAATAGAGTAATTAATTGAGAGATTATTAAAGGGAGAAGGAAATGTATTGCTTTAAAATGCTTGTGATACAAATCTTCATTGCAAATCATGGCAAATCCCAAGAAAGTCGAATACTTCACATCACAGAAAGGAGGACAGCAGGTACTCTTGGAGGGATACCGCTACAGACTCAACAACAGGCGACAGACGTGTGTACACTGGAAGTGTGTTCAAGGTGGCTGCTTTGGCAAGTGTACGACAGTCGGACAGTTTGTTCGGAATCAGACCCCACACAACCACCCACAAGAAGACCAGGTAGCCCTGAAGATTGCCAGTTCCCTGAGGCAGCGGGTACAGACTGAGACGACGCCAGTTCAGGTGATCTACGATGAGGAGATTTCCCGACTTGACCGAGGTGAAGCAGCAACAGTCAAGTCGTTCCATTCTATGAAGAGTGGACTCTACAAGCAGAGACGGAAGATGATGCCGCCACTTCCCCAGACGCTCAGCGAGGTGAATCTACCCGACTTCTTCAAAGGAGACTACAGATGGACTGCCCTTCCTCTGCATTGATGACGGTGATGATGACAAGATTCTCTGCTTCGCCACAAGTGACCGCCTGACCCTCCTGCAAGAAGTGGACACCCTCTACATGGACGGCACCTTCTACTCCTGTCCTCCTCTCTGGGATCAGCTGTACGTCATCCATGGCCTAGTCGGAGGAAGATGACCCAGTTGGTCTTCTGTCTACTGCCGAATCGTCAACGCCGCACCTATGAACGCCTGCTACGTCTCCTGAACGACAAGATCCAGCAGACAACAGGATCGCCCCTTCAGCCTGATGTCATCCAGACGGATTTCGAAATCGCTGCCATCAACGCTGTTGAGACCGTCTTCCCCAACTGCGACGTCCGTGGATGCTATTTCCACTACAGCCAGGCTCTCTGGAGGAAAGTACAGAACCTCGGCTTCAGCGAAGCCTACCAGCAGGATCCTGAGGTCCACAGATGGGTCCGACGAGCAGCAGCACTCCCCCTCCTCCCAGTGGCCATGGTACAAAATGCCTGGATAGAGGTCATGGACGACGCCCCTGCCATTGGACAGAAGGATGAGTTCCAGGACTACATCACCAGCACCTGGGTAGACGACCATGCACGGTTCCGAGCCGGACTATGGAATCACCACGACACCAGCGGCCCAAGGACGAACAATCATCTCGAGGGTTGGCATTCGCATCTCAACAAGACCGTCCAGAGAGCCCACCCGAACATTTTCGCTCTTGTGAAGGTTCTGCAGAAGCTGGAGAAAGCGGAGAGAAATAAGCTGGTGCAGATGGCTCATGGCGCCCGTCCCCCACCTCGCAAGAGGACTCCCCCACCTCGCAAGAGGACGTACACAGAAATTGACCAGAGACTCACTCGTCTGAAGGCCCAGCTGACATCTGGTATCAAGACACCCCTGGAATTCCTGACTGCTGCAGGATATTTGATCAAGCTAGCTTGAAAACCAAATGACTATGTTGATGAATGTGTGAAACTGTGTGTATACATGTAAATTACTTTTGGTTACCACAATGACTTTATTAATGAATGTGGTAGTTGACTGTGTGAAAGATGTATATATGTATATATAATCATGAATCAAATTAAGTTTTAATTACATTTTAATCCAAATAAATGATTATGTTTATTTATGTAAATTTATTTATCTCAAAACAAACTACTATGTGAAGATATGAATAAAGTTTAAGAAAATTAAGAAAAATATGACAACAATGTGAAAGATATGTATATGAATGTACATATGTATATGAATGACCAAATAAAATGTCTCTCAACATAGAAAGTTACTGTTTTCTATATACTGTAGGCATTAGTGCACTTTGAAATAGGACCATGCCACTTTATTGAAAGGTTGAAGGCAGGTGCAATCAGCAGCACTGGTGCGTAAAGTTGTTTATTTAACACTGTAGGCATTATTCACTGTAGGCATTAGTAGACTCCACCAGCATTCACCTGTCTAAAGCCTCATTTACACATATTTACATATAGGTATTTTTACCTCCTGGTTAAATTCATTTCAGATGCTCTAATCCTTCATACTTCATTCATTAGACCCTTAAAGAAATCGACATATATTCTTCTATGTAAGATGTGACATTTGTGTCTGTTTAGATCAAGAAATGTTCAGCAGAGTGTACAACACCCTCGCCCCCAGTGAACAGACATATGCACTAGGTGATGATGATGCTGTCTTCACGACAGCAGGAAGGCCAGACAACATCCAGACTCCTACCACAAGAGAGATTCCCACAGTACATGAAAGTTTAACTACCGTTGTCAGTGGACAGGATGATCCAACCATAAGTTCAAGTCCATCTTCAGTGCAAACAGAGAATGGTGCAGTTGACGATGCAGATATTAACTGTAATCAATAATGGTTTTTTTTGGCAAATCTTCAAAAACACTATGTTCTTTTGTCTGAAATCATACAGATTTCATCATATCCATTTATAGCCAAAGGGAGATAGTGCTATTTGTACAAGTGTTAACGCCTCTGCTTTAGCACCATATAGTGTGTTGCTTAAAACTTGACACGCAATGTATGCCATCCACTAAAATGGAGCTAGTAAGCTACCAAGGTGCGCCAAAGTTGCCATATAACATGAGAGACAAAGTTTTGGGGCTTCATATCCAACTTTATTCAGACTAACAGGACAGATGCTTCCTCAGCTCAGATGTTAATTACAGGTTTACATATCCAGTTGAAATAGCGTCATAATCTTTGAAGAAAACCAGTAACCAGCATGGTATTTCGTTATATATTTTCTATGCTTTTCATTCATTGCTTTTCGCTGAATTGATTGTTGATAGAGCTTTTTATCTCTGAAAAATAATAATCGCCTTTGGAAGTTGGATAACTAGGTTATCTAACCTATATAACTAATATAGGTTTTATAAAACCTATTAAATCTGCTCAGTGACAGCTCAACATGTTCCCAGACCATATGTGGGTAACTGTTTGTGTGTGTGTTATTAAGTAACGTACATTTGATGTGTAGTCAATGTCAAATGCAAATTTATGTAAAATGGAGAACTGAATACTGCACACCTGTCCCCGTCTTTGCATTTTTAATAAGCTATAATAGATCAATTTTCAGTTCATTTCTCCAGACCTAATTGTTTACGCTTTGAGGTACATGTACTACCTTTTGATGTTAACTCTTTTGTTTTGATTTTACAGAATGTATGTTTCACTGGCACGATAGAGCCATCCGTTTGATGCTGGACCTATACGAAGAAAATAGGGACAGGTTCTCAAACCCATCCGTGAGCAGGTCGTCTGTTTGGAGGACCATTGCAAATGGAATGGTTGGTTATGGATACCACATCAGTGGTGAAATGTGTGACAAGAAACTTCGTAATCTCAAGCAGACCTACAAGAGAATATGTGACAGAAACAAGAAGTCCGGAAATGGCAGAACTGACTGGGCATATTACAATCGAATGCAGTCCATTATGGCCGGAGATCCTGCAGTGGTACCTGTGTCAACCATCAGCTGTCTGGAGGATCCACAGTCCACTGGTTTGGATCCCTCTCAAGAATCCAGCAAACAGCCTTCTTCTCAATCTTCAGCACCCACAATACCAGCTGATGAACGCACACCAAAGAGCAAGAAGAGGCGTACTTCAACAGTTTCTACACCTCCTGAAGCACCAGCCTGGTTTGAAAGGGCCATGGAAAATGACAGGACGCACATGGATCAACAATTACAGAGAATGCAGGAAATCCAATTGAGGTCGATACAAGTGCAAGAAGAAAGGAATAGTGTCCTTAGAGATCTGGCAACTCTCCTGAAAGATTCGCTGTCCAGATCATAAATGTGTCAAAATGGCTATTTGTTTTTATAGGTATTAGTTCAATATCAGTCAGTAAATTATTTGAAAGGACACTGAGAGAACTGAAAATGAGTTGTTTTGAACAATATAGTATTGATCTGAGTGGTTTAATTACCTTCTCCGTCCATGTATAATACTACAAGTAACTAGTATGTATGGTTAGCCTGATTTGATTAGCTCATAAAAGTAACATGAACATTATTTACATGTAATTAGTGTGCTGAAATGAGTGAAGTATTGTTATTGTATACAACCTTGCCTGTAGAAATCAGATTGGACAGATGTCATTTATTTTCAGAAGTTTACAATTCTTGACACAGAACTGGCATGTCACTGTAGGATGTATGCAAGCATGTATATATGTACACTACCCTTAAAAAGTTTACTCATTAGTGCAAATGTAGCCCCTGTTTTCAGTCAGCTGATGTATTGTAAAACAAATGCGTAAGGTTGAAAAGATTCTTGTCATGAGTTCAAAACTTTAAACCAAAATGCAGCTGTTCACATGTTCATATTTACAGCAATTTGAGACATAATCCTCGTGCATTTCATCTGCATCAGGTTTGCAGTTGGTTCCCCCAAGTAAGTGGAGTAATTCATCTTCCATGTAACCAAATATATATACACATAACGTATAGTGAATGCTTTAAGTTAGTCTAAACTTTTAATGGGTAGTATATGTGTGTACTTGTGGACGAAATGTATTTCAGTTTTCATATTTCATTGGAAACTTCTTTGGGTATGCATGTATGTGTGTGTGTGTGTGTGTGTGTGTGTGTGTGTGTATGGATTGATAGTATAGGTATGTAAGTGTATGTAGGGTAGGGCTTGTAGGTATGACATGGTGGGTATGATGTCTATGGTAGTATGGTATGGTGTAATGTGTATGGTATGGTGGTCTGTTATGGTATGATGTGTATTTATACGTGTGTATGTTGTGTATGGCTGGCTGTGTATTCATATTTTATTTCTGAGATAATGTGTATGTGTTATGGATTTTACAGTGTCTGATAGGTCAACGGCGGTATGTCTTTCTCTAATAATTTGCCTTGCATTATTCATGTATTGTTTCTCTTGCATTTCATTGTCATAAGTGTCACATGCACATAATAAGGATTATCAGTATTATTAGGATAATCAGTATTATTAGGATAATCAGTATTATTAGGATAGTCAAAATATTATCCACTATTCTGTGTAACTGATTATGATCAAGGAAAACATCTGCAAAATTAGTGTTTCGGACATATATTTTTCCAACACGACTTTTCTACATCGGTCAACATTTTACTTTAATAATAATAATGTTAAATTTGTATAGCGCCTGAATGCACGGTTTGCTCTAAGGCGCTTGGTTGAATGCTCTGTGGAAAAGAACTGGTTTTAGTTCTTTTTTTTTTTAATGGAATGATGTCGGACAAATTTTTCAAGTCTCATATCGCCTTGAGAGAGTATATATCTGTTATGTAATGACTGGGACTTCAATTCAGTTTTCAAACCTGTTCTCTAACCTGTTCAGTTTAGTTGTGAAAATGCTTGTCTATAGCCTGAAGGGTGCCATTTCTTGTTACTTGTTACCGGTGTTCAACTGTTAATTTTCAAACTGGTTTAAGTAAGCCTACCTCTAGTTGGAAGGTCTGGTCATGTGGAATATGATTAACTCATATGACCTGTTTGTCACAAGTGGAAATGCTGGTGCAGATCATGATAACTGAATACCTTCCTTACCTCTCATTTCCCATTGACAGAAACAGTTGTATTTCGACAAATTCACAGTACTAGTATGTTGCAGGGGATGTAGGTAGATGCCCTCAACTCTGTTAGGGGTTTGGTACATTTATATACAGTTATCATTTCATGCAGAATTTTCACTTTGTCATTGCATTTTTTCCCACTTGAACCAATGGTGGCTAACATGTTTGAATTCACTCTTAAGAGTGAGAAAGAACAAAGGAGAGTTTTGTGATGAATGGAATGTTTATTGCAATGGTCATCATGTTATTTCATTGCATAACAGCTGTTATTGTTGAAGATATTATGTTTATTTATATTTTCCACAAAGGAAATAAATTGCATTTACAATAACATATATCTTAGTTATCATTTACACTGATTTACATCAAGTGTGGATTGGATAGTGTATGGGCAGCAGTATCAATACATGAATTAACTTGACACATTCAGCTGAAGAGCTCTCATTTCAATAATTGTATAATTCACAGAAGTATCATTCATAATGCTGTCGATAGGCAAGGTATGTGTGTTAAATGATAATCACAACATGTTAGCAATCCTTTGACGCTTAACAGCAGCAGCTGCATTTCTTACATCATCAAGAACTGCATGTTGACCTTCCTCGTTATCCATATCAGCAACAGTATCATTTTATTCCACTTGTTCAAGGTCGATAATCAAGTTGTGTAGAACACAAGCTGTTACAATGACATTGGGAACCTTGTCCATCAAGTCCATGTCCAAATACTTGAGTGATACTTGAGTCTTCTCCATTTGCTGTTGCTGCTTTCATAATGCTGTCGATAGGCAAGGTATGTGTGTTAAATGATAATCACAACATGTTAGCAATCCTTTGACGCTTAACAGCAGCAGCTGCATTTCTTACATCATCAAGAACTGCATGTTGACCTTCCTCGTTATCCATATCAGCAACAGTATCATTCTCTTCATTCTGTTCGAGCTGAACTGTGTATTCTGTTGTACTTTTTTTGTAAGTCGCTTAAATGACCATTATCCCTAAATGGGGTCATTAGACTGATCTGCAGTGGATAAGCACCATCACCTATGATGTGAGCGTTTGGTGGCAAGAAATCGGGTCGAGCAAGATGTAAAGCCAGTGGGCTGTTTCGGAACATGCGGGCATCGTGAACAGAGCCAACCCAGCCACTGTAAACGTCCATAAAACGCAATTTGTGATCACACACGGCCTGAGTCTTCATGGAAGCTACACCCTTTCTGTTTATGTAACTGTCTCTGTTCTGATTAGGTGGTTTAATGGGTACCTCTGTGCAATCAATAGCACCAACTGTATGAGGAAAGCTCCACCTTTCTTCAAATTCTTGAATATTTACAATCGCACCTTCCTTTGATGGCCATTATATATATTCACCTCTTATCTCCAGGATAGTCTCACAGAAACTTATGAAGATCCTCTGCAGTTGACCCCTCTCTATGCCAAACCGGTCCCCAACACCTCGAAAAGACTCCTGATTTGCCATGGTCCACAAAGAAGCTAAAGTTTTCTTTTGAAGTGTTACTGTCCGCCATGGAGTCTTGCCAGCAATATGTCCCATTAACACCTAAAACAACATAGTATTTGAATTAGTGACCATTCCATATTTATGGCTTGGGGGTTAGTGGGGTGGGTGGGAATCCATGATTATAAGAGTGGGGTCATTTTGTTCTAGGGGGGACGGGGGTCACCAATATTTGGTACACTTGTATTTGGTGATGGAGGGCGAGAGTCCTCATTGATGATTTTGTACACGACATGCAGGGGGTTCTCTTACTTTAGACATAAATTTGGGGATATGGATGAATGATGATCAATTTTGTACACATGTACTGGAGGGAATGGTCGGGAGGGTTTCCTTTCTACATATCTATTATTTCTTGGGGAGGGGGGCTTAACATTGAGGCTATAAATTTTTGGATTTGTTTTTGGAGGACAATCACAGTATATATACAATGTATAAATGACGCAAAACGTCTCCATTGTTATATCGAAAAAAGTATGGTGCAACAATGTACAGTGCTTGAGGTATGGGAACACTTCACATATGTAAATTGAGGGAGTAGTGCAATTCACCGGGGCCACATGTTCAGATCCTGCTGAAGACTACTGGCTAGCAAACAGTTATCGCCATATTTTAGTGGTATTTACAAAATTACTCCGCCGTTCGTTAAATTAATGAAAAAAAATTAATCATGATACTTTATTAGCTATTCACAGATGTGTCCAGTCTGTTTACTGTCGCCGATCATGTTTTTATATAACAAAGCGGAAGTAAAGTATGGAAGTATAAATAGATGTTTTCTCACAACTAACTGTAACAGTTATCACCATTCAGAATTTCTCATGCCATTCGTGAAATAATATGTATTTATAATTTATATCATACATTAACTCCGAATAATTGATTGTGTGACAATTTGACAATTTGAGTGTTTCTTTCACAGTAGATTGATACGGAATGACTTGTGAACTTGAATTTGCTATTATATAGGTCATGGGACATTCCCCCGACTAAGTTAAAAATTTGTTAGCGTTCATAACTTTATTTTTAACTTTTCTCTGTGTTACATGCCATGAAGAATTTTCTTTTGCTGTCCTGTATAGTTGTCAAATACCGCTGGGAAAAAATACCAGAATTGTAACTGACCGGAACTGCACACATGTGATACCGATGTATTGGCGATAACTGCTACCCGGCGATAACTTGTCGCTAGCCAGTTGACGGATTTTAATGAAATACAATGAGCAGTGGAGAGTTACCGAACAGCGATGAGACGAGACAGCGGGAGCACTCTAATTATTTATGACTATTATCGTGAATTATTTATTTATTAGTTAAATTGAAGCATATTCATACCTCTACAGATGATCTAGCCATTCTGAAATGTGACCTGAAGGCAACATCGTCGTAGTTATTAACGACATCAGCAATGTAATTCTTTATGTTGACAGATCGTTGACTTTTGGACGCATTCTGGTCACAAAGGGGTAAAAAGCTTTCGAGATGGTTTGCATAGTTTATTCTCACGAGTTGTTGCGAATATTCTTCAAAATAATTGCAGGGAATGTCTTCTGAAGCTTCGTGTGCCAAAATTGTGGCTATGATCGGTGAGGTGTTTACATTGGACGACGCCATGTTGAATGAAGCGCTCACACAGCAGTCCGTTGCGCGGGAAAGCAGGCAGCGTAGCGCAGAGTAGCGCAGCGAAGCTTGCAAACTTGTGCTGAACAACGCGCCCCTGATGACCACAGATCATCGCCACTTTTGTGACGTCACACGCTTTACACTCTCATTGCGACGGTTCAATGACCACGCCATGTGACGTCAATACCATCGTTGTAGGTCGTGACGTCATACGTGTATGACGTCAGTGTGGCAGCTTATTTTCGAGGTTGCGTCAAAAAATGACGTCACTACCATCGTGTGTAGGTCGTGACGTCACGAGACGTCAGTGTGGCAGTATATTTTCGAGGTTGCGTCACGTTATGTCACCTCGGAAATGTGCTGTCACCATACTACTAACCTGCCTCGATTATTTACAGACCGTTTATCTAGAATGCTGCTGAGTGCGATGTTGATCAATAAACAAGTAAACAAATAGACATTCTAAACTGATTTTGGAAGGGCAAAATATACGATTGTTCAAAATGCATGAAACAAGTCTATGAGTTATAAATGAATAAATCTAAAGAGTAAATGCTTAATTGAATGGCAGCATTCTTAAAGTCTTTGAAAGGCAGTGTTCTGGTAAGCTGAACTGTTGATCTTGAACAGTATCGAGGATTTTCATGCTAATGAGTATTGCTTTATAGATCTTGGCTTCATCAATCGATAGATCGACATGACGAAGCGAGGGATGCTCTCCGTAGTTCCTAAATGAGTTTACTGTTAAATGTTCTCTTATGGCGACTTTGATAAATACATGTTTAAGTGACGTGAATGTTCCACAATGCCTGAAGACTATTTACTTCTACAGGTCATTGGGACTATTAATTTGTATTTGTAGACATTCACACCAACTACCACGGAGTCGAGATGAAGTATTTGGTTTCTTTATTGTTTTACGCCACCTATATGGCTGCGGTCTGTAAAAAATCGAGTCTGGACCAGACAGTCCAGTTGTCAGTATCATGAGCCTCAATCTATGCAATAGGGATACAATGACAAGTGTCAACCAAGTCAGAGAACCTGACCACAGGATCCCGTTAGTCGTCTATTACGACAAGCATGGGTTGTTGAAGACCAATTCTAAGCCGGATCCTGACGGGTTGCATATTAGTAATTTATTATTATTATTTACAGACCACCACCATATAGCAGGAATAGAGCTGAGTGTGGCGTAAAACAAGAAACAAACTAATATGCCACACACTCTCTGTACTCTCAGAGCTACTTTTTCAGCATGTCTGTTATTTACTTATCACAGTACTGATAAGCATCATTCTATGCACGTATTTCTGTAATCCTTACAACAATATTTGTAACTGTAAGCAGCAGAATTAATTAAAAATTTATATTATGATTCCAATTTTTACTCGATCAATAAATACACTATTGTACCACTGTGCTTTGCAACTCCCGATTGATTTTCTGCTTTTATTCCACTTCGTATGGAGGGAGTAATGAGATATAGCATCAGGCTAAAATAAAATAAAATTCAAAAATAGGACAAAAAAACACATGCTTCAATCTGAGCGTGATCGGTGTTGCTGGCAGGACAGGATAGTCCACCCTTGCGCAAACACTTGGTGTCACCACCAGCTTTAGTGATCCATTCATATAGTTTTCATAGGAATTCGGGGCAGTCGGGCAGCCAAGTGGTTAAAGCGTTTGCTCATCATGACGAAGACACTGGTTCGATTCCCCACATGGGTATAATGTGTGAAGCCCATTTGTGGTGTCCACTGACGTGATATTGCTGGAATATTGCTCAGAGCAGCATAAAACCATGCTCACTCACTCTCCCATATGTCTCTTACGACTACTGTAATCAGGATGGGCGGATGATCGAGAATGACTCATGTCCTAGCGTACTAGTGTCGTGGTATGCTAAAATGAAGTCTAAATCACATTCATAGATCAAGGAGCGGAAGGTAGACGGGTTGTTTTTAGATTCCCTCTTCATGCAGAACATCCCGGGTTCATGTCTTGTTTACCCTGCCGTGATGGTGCTAATAGTAATAATAATAACAATAATAATATCATATTTGTAACGCGCACAGACCCATGCGTGGCATGCTCAAAGCGCCAACTTGTATAGGAAATGACAAGCTATACTCTCTCTTTGGGATACGTTTACTCAGAGAAAAAACAAACCTAAAATATCCACGTGAAGAGGAAACACGCATGTATATGTTTTTATTTCCAGCAGATAAGCAAACATTAACAACACATATGTTTTGTACTCAATGCACTTCCTGTTTATTATTTCATGATTACGTGAAACCAAATTCATCTCCATTGTTCGTGCAAATTTTGTCCTAAAATATACCAGTATCAACGTAGACAATAATATGTTAGAGGACAAGTAAAGGACGTCAAATGTACAACTGACATATGAATGTCATTATGGAATGACAGCAAATTATTAAGGTTATACAGGAAATAGAGAACACTATCCCCGTTCTGCTTACATTTCTACTATCTTATCGACTTGCTATAGTGTCTCACAAAGCCGGAGAGAAATTGGAACATATGAGTCAGGCGCATTTCCTATTCCCCACGTTCGATATGGATTATGTGTAAACAAAGAATTTTCGAATTGGAGTGAAATATGCTCAGACATATGTACTGTGCACATTTCTGTGAGTACAAAGTAACATATTATTAACAATGGCTATTTATAAAGCGCCTGTTTCCACGCACTACTGCATGCCAATGTGCTAACAGATAATTACTCCGAATAACCCAAGCTGCCTGTGAGGCGTTAGAAGGTTAACAGTTACATGACTTATCTCCACCAGAGGCATTTCATGAACAATCTAACTTGCCTAGGGTGAGGACACATGTGCTGCGGGTGCTTTGTTGTGGGGCAGGACTGAAGTCCTAGAAACTCTCAAGCTGCCAGACATGGTAACCCATCCAAGAACTCGACCAACGTTGCTTACTTTCTTCTGATTTGTGACCTGGGCTCTATACAAAGGACCACACGCCACCACTTTTCCCATGGAGCAATGACAATAACGACAACCAGATCAAGAACATGGTACTCACCAACGAGCACTCAACAATACTTCAAAGAAAGAAAGATACGTCATAGCCCTTGGAATCAGGGACCTACAAGCAATCACTAACATGGTCTTCAAAACTTATCAAGATTGATAACTTATCTAGCTGTTTAATGTTCAGCGTAAGTGTCACATCTTTTGTAAAGTATGAAATCTGGGTGATTGACAAAGAGGTTTGTTGTAACGATGTCACACCACACTGAATTACATCTACAATCAGGACAATATGGACATTGTGTCACGGGTGGATTCAGAGGCTTGAAAAGGTAACTGTAAACAGATAACCGTAATGTATGTTGTTTGAACCCGATTTCAACATTATTCCAGCTATATGGTGGAAATAATCGAGTCTCTGTATCAACCAATCCACTGGGAAAATATGGACACCGATCTATGCCAGTTGGATACAATGACCCTTGTCATCCACATCAGTCACTCTGACCGCCGATTCCATTAGACCACTTCTTACCCTTCAGAAAAGAATTACCATGCAAGGAATGTTACTTTTTAGTAATAATAAATAAAGAACCATGAATAAAATGGTAGGCTGGTTATTTATATCTCGGGTTCGAAATTGTTCTGTAGTTGATGATTTACGGGCTGCTGAAAATTAATTCCAACACAAATCTTCACTGGTTACCGAATATGTAACGATCATTATAGTTAAAAATGCATGTCCGTGTGGATCCAAAAGATGCCGGATTCATAAAAGAAATGTATGTTGTGACCAATCCGCCTGGATAACTTAGTAAAGGCTTTGTGATTGGGATAAGGTGACATGTGTCAACCATGTCAGCGAGATTGACCTCCCGATCCCGTTAGACCCCTCTTACGACAAGCAATAGTTGCTGAAGGCCAATTCTAACCCGAGTGGGATATGGTCCGATTTAAATCTTTATAACAATTACTGTGGAAACAAATGCGAAGCCAGAGGTTCGTGTGTGGTTTAAGAAAGCACTAATACACACCAAAATAAAATGGAAACACTATGGGATACGTGTCCCGTATGAGTCTGGTATCTCGCAACTTCTATCTGTATCTCTGGATCTGATACTGATTTGGAACAATCCCCTAAGTGAGGCATGAAAACATAGGCTCTATTTATAAGTTCCAACAGTGCTTCAGAAGCTATTACCAACACATAGTAGAATACTTCCTAGAATAATCACGCCACAAAGAAGTTATTGTTTGTGCTTTTTAAAAGAGTCAAAGCCAAGAAGATTTTCTTTCCTCTTTCCGCTAAAGCGTCAGACAACCTCACACAACGACCACCCTTGATTTGAGCACGAAGTGGTCCTTACTTTATCTTCAGTCAGGTATGCACATCCACTGTTGAATGAAGATGGATCCTTTGATCCTTCCCGGAGAAAGGTCGATCCATCGGTCCAGGAATAGCTGGTTGAGCTAGTCGTCAGCAGTCCAATAAGCGCCCCTGTTGAGGAAAAACGACCACACCTTAATTTTGCATACACACATCTTTGAATGTGTTTATTATGGTGGCGGCGGTTTGTATATAATCTAGACCACAACAGCATGAGCACCGATCTACGCAAGTGTGATACGATGCCGAGCCAGCGGGCGTGACCACCCGATCACGTTAGTCGGTTGTTACGCCAATCATGAGTTCCTGAAGACCAATTCGCGAAGGTCATCACTGGTTCTTGTTCAACGCCACACCCATCAATATCCCAGGATATGGGGCCAGTGTGTACATAAAAGAGTCTCGATCGGAAATCCCAGTGATTGACATCATGAAAATCGATCTGCGCATTAGGGACGTATCAACCAGTTCCATACCTCTTCCGTTTGCTTCCGACTGCGATACTAACTTTTTTGGCCATATCATTCACATTTCTACTGAGAGTGAGTGAGTTTACTTTCACACCGCTTTTAGCAACATCACGATGGGGGACACCAGAAATGGGCTTCACACATTGTACCCAGGTGGATAATTGAAACCGGGTTCTCGGCGTGAGGAGCGAACGCTTAAGCACTAGGCTACCCCAACGCCCCTTCTACTATGGACAATAGTCAGTGGTACGCACGTACAATCAAGCACGACATTGTGTGATACTCGATTCTGAGCGCATCAAAATCGTACTTAAATAGCAGTTTAAGGACCGCTAATTAAAGTGACCGACTAATCCCAACCGGTCTGCAGCGCCGTAGGTAACTATTCTTAATCGGGTTGGTTGTGAAGGGGGGTAGGGGTGGTTTATAAGATATTTTTTTTCCTGCTAAGTTTGGCCAAGTTTGTTCATGTTTTAAAAAAAGTTTGTTGAAAATTGTGGTATCTGTACACAATGTTCTGAACTAAACTTTTATAAATACGTTTATATGCAAAATAACTGTTTTGTTCAGTTAAAGTATTAACATACAATAGTTGTATTATAAAATTCAGTTGACAGTCAGGAAATTACACGTGAAATTTACATCATAAAAATGATATCAGATTTGTTCAATATTACTCACTCACTCATTGCAATTTAAGTCAGTCAGAACGAGTGCTTTATTTATGATCAACCATGAATTTAACAGATTTACAGTTTCAAGGGAACATCAAAAATGATTTTGACCCTATTATACACTTTTAAATGTATTTGAATTTCCTCCAGTCTGTCTTCCTAGAGTAGATAGTGCATGGACTTGGTATCAAAGGTGTGCTTCTGTATGTACCTTTTGGACTTATGTGGATTGAATGCAATCCTTTTTCTAATTAAGTATTTTGCTCGTTAATTATCATTAGGTATTGCACAATATGCCTTGACTTTATAGTGTTCCGGGTAGTCTATGTCATTGCCCTGGATTCCTTATTTTATTTATTAATGGTTGTTGTCATCATATGTAATCGTGTATCATTCTGGTACCGATCATCTGTCAGTAAGGATGTCCGCAATCTTTGCGTGATTAATTGCGGTGTGGATTTTAGGACTGCGGTATATGACACTCAAAAGAGTGTTATATCAATACTTTGATGTACACAAAATAATCTGTAAAACGATTGGGGCGAGTCGAGTGTCATACAGCAGGGGAGATTAAAACTTCGTTTGAGTAAAATCGGATAATTGTACTTGCTCACAGTATAAACTATATTTTTCTGTAATCTGTTTATGTTACTTGTTACAAATACAATCATACTGGTTCCCGAAATAAAACATTTATGTTTTTGAAATGGTATTTTGTTCATTGCACAACCTGTCCCTCAGCTGGACGATTTCAAGCAATTTCCAGGAAAAGAGCCCCTCCACGCCATGGAGTCTGGTTTGAAGTGCTTATGAGTGCTAAAATGAAGATAAAGCTACTCTATCGTTGAATTAAGACCGTTAAATGTTAAATTTAAAAACTAACGCATTCGGTTTTGAAATTGAACATTTACCGGTCATAATCAATGATAAAGGACCGAAAAATTGAAAACAGAGTAGCTTTATCTTCCAATTATAATTATGCTTACTTCAATTAACCTTTCATTTTATACATTATTATTACAGTTAATTTTATATTATAACTATTTTTATTATGTACCATATGTAGACGACGTCTGAGTCATGAGGGCAGCAATGTAGTCGTGTTTCTCTGTCGTGTTCAAGATGATGAGACGTCCACCGTCACTCTGACACCGAGCCTGGCTTTCTGCCCAAGTCTTCCAAGGCTGGGTATTGTATAGCTTGTAACAGACACGGGGGTAGAGGACAGACGTGTAGCCTTGAGACAGGGGACACGGATCCTCACTGGGCAGAGCTGAACACAAAGAAACTATCATTACAAATCATTTAAAATATTGAGTGATTGAGCTAATACGTAACATGGCATCGGCAAGATTTCAACCATATATTGACGAGACCAAGTTTATACACACAAGTCCATTATAAAAAGAAATGTATACTTGAAACCTTTTTCCATAAACTTGGCATTTACAACTTAAAATACCATTACATCGATTAATTAAAATACAATATTTGTGCACAAACATTTTCAATTTATGATACAGACGATATTAATTATGAGATGTCCACTCACACGGCTAATCAGACTTTTCATTATTAATATTTATTCCTTGTGATGAATCATTCACAATTGAACAGTCCACATATCAGAAAATGCTTGAAGCTGCATCTGTCATGACTAGATATATACCAGGGTGGAATCATTCAGACTTGCCAGCAAGATCAAAGATCAAGAGCAAAGTATGTTATTTTGGCTCGATGTTGTAATGTGTATATCTTCGAAGAAGTACAAGTCATTATTTGAGATGTAAAACATTTAAAGGGCTTTGAAGAAGATCAAAGATACAGTGATAGTCTAAACACACTGTTAACGGAGAGATAATTAACAAACAACAGAGACAAGAGAGGACTTGGATCCATGTCCAAACCTTTGGCAGGCGTACATCTCCAGTCCAACATTTCCGTATCCAGCATTGCTCTATTGAGCCATATTCGTTCGGACAAACGTGAGCGAGTGAGTGAGTGAGCGAGTGAGCGAGTGAGCGAATGAGTTTAGTTTTGTGCCGCTTCTAGCAATATTCCAGCAATATTACGGCAGGGGACACCAGAAGTGGGCTCCACACACTGTACCCATCGACCCCGGGTTTTCAGCATGAAGAGCAAACGCTTTAACCACTAGGCTACCCCACCGCCCAACAAATGTGAAGAGATAGGTGTTAGTGGGTTGAAGCATAGCATCTTATAACACAGCAAATAACCTGGACAGCAGTGATTGACTGCTGATGAAGTTGCATAGTTATAATAATCTTTGATCATGTCCGGCAAGCAGCGAGTTCAGATTACGAGCAATGGCTTTGCACTGAGACATCTGCATTGATATTGACAAACTCGGTTATTTTGTGCAGATTTACTGATTGTTGTCTCTGTGTATAATCATTGAAGAGAGAACCAGACTGAAACCTCTTAGAGGACACCAGCAATACCCGTGTACACCAGCAAAATTATCACAAGCGTCATTACCAGAGAGAAGTGACCTGTAGTCAAACCAAATGGACGTACTCTTGTTCCATAACGATTTAGCAGAATCAATGTTCTTTGGTTGAATCCATGATGTTAGGAAACCATGTCGAAAGAAAAGTGGTTCAAGATCCATTTTTCCTATGTACAGAGTGTCAACGAGGAATGTCAACTGCAGCTGTTCTCAAAGCAAGCTACAGGTGATGAGGATAAATGGGTGCTGTACGCCACCTAAGTTGACACAAAAAGACCCCGTAGGAATTTACCAAATTAATAGTTAGACTGGTTCGGACAATGAAAATTATTGATGACTTACAAAACTCATTGGAGTATGAGCCACTGTCCTCTCGGCCCAGACCTCTAAGCAAGATGTCGTTTTGATAGGAATTCCATGGACATTTAGAACAGTTTGAAAGTCGAAATATCACATCTGTGTGCAGAACATTATATGCACAGGGCGTGGCATGACCAACTGAATAGTGGCACCGATTCTACCGCTCGTCCAGGCAAACGTAGAGTCGAGGTTGTCGGTTGGGCTAAGGAAGAAGAGTGCAGTCTCTGGCGCTCTCCGTCGACACGGGGACGCAAACTACGACAAACTGATTGCCAAATTCAGTCGCCTTTGGGGACCAGCAAATGGGTGGTGGGGACCTATTCTACCCCTGCACCACCGATCAATTGATTGATAAGAGAAAGAGTTCATTTCATTTCTAGATGAACGAGATTGCCTCATGTTGAAGAAAAAATGAGTCAGCATTTCTAGATAAACCAGTTTTCGTCATGATATAGGAAAAAGAATTCAGCACTCATGACCCCAATCCACTATGGACTGTCAACAAGGAAGTGTCAAATAGCACCGGACATCAAACGTGCTAACACCAGGTATACATGGGCGCTATACACCAAACAATGTAACAGAACTAGCAGTATTTATCTACCAAGGTATTGTCAGCGTTGTTCGGCAGAAATTGGACATATTATTTGGGAGTCAACTTCAAAGGATTGGCCCATGTCCCACATGTGCCACCTCCTTCCGGCATAGTCAAATTGTTAACTGTTAATAGAAGATTTGTGACATTTTGAGTCATCATCCAACTAAAGCACAATAAAATCAGCATTAACATTTCGTACTCAGGGCATGGCATGACCAGCTGATTGATAGAACCGGGCACATTCAACCACCCGTTCAGGTGAAATAAGAGTGGAGGTTGTGTGATGGGCAAAAGGAAGACGGTTCTGACTCATTTGCCCCCAACCTCCAGAATCCCTTCCTCGGGGCAACCCTGTGCAAACAGATTGCCCAGTTCGGTCGCACATTCGACCAGCAGTTGGGGTTGTCGTTATAAAACATTTCTGTTGAGAAAACATAACATATTGACAGACCAAGGCCATAATCTGTAGAGGGATATTGGTATGGGATGCTTCTGTCATGGCTGATATTGTCATGACTCTCCTGACTGTCGGCAAGCTGAAATGTATATATTTTAACATTCCTCGGATCAAACCATAGTCCTCTAGTAGAAACGAGCAGATATCACAAACTAACAAGACATGATCGGTTATGCTCACTGTGTATTATCCCAAAAGTTGCGAATGAATTCCACTTTTGTTTTGTGTGCCCATTTCATTCAGATTTGCGCTCCATGCTTATTTAACAATATTATTACATGTTACAACTCTTGGTAATTGTGTTAATAACAAACTTTATGTGTGTAATAAACTTGCAAATACATATTTCTCGCTTTAAAAAAACGTAATTCCTCTTTCAAAGAAGAAAACGTTTTTTTGACAGCATCGTGCATAGTTTGTATGGTCTTGCCTATACCATACACTGTCATATGATTTATAATTTAGTCATGTTTGTTCTCAGCGCTCCTGTCATGCTCTGTACCGGAGGCCCCTGTACGTGAATAGTGAGTGAGTTTAGTTTTACGCCGCACTCAGCAATAGTCAAACTCTATGGCGGCAGTGTGTGAATAATCGGATCTGGACCAGACATTCCAGGCATCAACAGCATGAACATCGATCTATGCAATTGGGATATGACGACATGTATTAACCAAGTCAGTGAATCTGACCACCCGATCCCGTTAATCGCCTCTTACGACAAGAATAGGCTACTTAAGATCAATTCTAACCCGGATCTTCAAGGGTATGTACGTGAATAAAAACACCACCATCGGCAAGCACCACCATCTGTTCCATGACACCACGCCCCGCTACAACTGTAAATTCAGAAACCTTCATGCATCACATGCCAGTCACAGAGTGAATCAAGCGTATCAAATAGTTTCAACATGTTGGTGTATATATGTCACATATCAGAACTTCCCTAATGGTTCAAGAAATGTACATCGTGATCCATGTCTGAAGTTACAGCTACGAATACGTACAGCAAGAAGCGTCCAATAGGATCGGTATTTCAGCTGATACATTTCATCAGAACTTAGGCTGCGTAGCTCGATGCTCTGGGTGTGAACTGGTCCACACTAGATTATTGATAGACCGAAGTCATGTAGGTTTGGTCTTCAAAGACCAAAGACAACAAAATGTCACTGACAACATTCAAAGAAATACCATTTCAGCAACATCACGGACTGAGACACCAAATATGGACACAGCCGTAGGGTATCGAACCCGAGTCTTTCACGTCACGAGGGAACGCTTTAACCACTGGGCTACCCATTGACCCCATAATTTACGGACACGTAAGAGACAATGCATGTACCTTGTGTTGAGTAACATGAAAACATATATGGTGTCTTACCTCCTTGTTTGATGTAGGATCTGGATCCTGAGACAGTAATCCCCGACGAAGACAGAGATGATCTGTATGTAGTACATTGGTCCCCATGATACGATACTGAAACACACTTGTCATCCTCGGCACAATGATGGGCGCAGTATTCAACATTTTGAGCTGGTAACACGCTGGATGGTATCTCAATGGCTTTAAGTTCGTCTTGCGTGGTAAGCCTTTCAAAAGTATAATTGTAGCAAGGGGTGCCAGCAGAAACTGTCGTCATAAAAAGGGGGAGAAGAAAAAACACCATCATCCTTGTTGATGTGTCGCATTTGTGTGACATCTATCTGTGGTTCACAGAGAGTCCATGACGTCCACGGTGAAGCCACCGTTCGTCTGAAATGTCTGCTCTTCACACTGTGTCTCTGGTTTTAAAAATTAACCCACGCGCTGTGAGATATATCTCCAAGCAACAGTATGTCTCTGACGACCACGGTGAAGCCACAATTAATTTTGTATCATATATCTTAACGGGTTAACAATGAAACAGCATTTTGTATGATGCACATGTGACGTCGAAGAAGAACCCACGATGTATGTAGTATATCTCTCACTACCACCGGTCTCTGGAGTCCAATACGAAGCCACTGTCTTTGTGAAGATCAGTGATAAATAGAAGTGGATTCCACGAATTACTAAAGATCCTGAGATTTCATTCTGTGCTGCATCGGTGTGTGGAGTTAATGGATATCAAGACACACCGGTAGTGGCGGGAAACCTCAACATGTCAGTAAAAGCCAACCTATTGATCACACACGGAATATCAGTTGTCCGTGTTGACTGCAGTGGCAAACGTCACTTCACATGCGCAGAAAGCTTCCGTGTTCTTTGCAGTTCGTGTCGCTACACAATTGTAAGATCTACTGGAAATCATTGAACCGGTTGTAATTAGTGGTATGAGGATCTACCATTGTGTTCGAAATATGTTTTGTATATTTGTATGTAATAGGATGTCAGTTATACTGAACACATATTTGGCGGCATTCTCACATTTTGCTTGGTAAACACTTAAACAGAAACATATAAACAAGTTTCTGTACAGATTTCGCCCACATAGACTGAGTCACACTAAAAGGTACTTATATATTTATACATATGGATTTTGGAAGTTGCTTTTTTCCTTAATTCTTCTTGAACTCAAAACTATTTGTATTTGATGATATTAAGGGAAAATACATTTATTTGAGATAAATTTAAATCTTTAAAGGAAAGTTCACATTGGAAAACAGGAAGAGGAATTTATTGGCTATAGTTGGTAATCTTCCTAAATTCTCCTATATATATTCTCCTTCTACCTATATTTTATATTATAAGTTCTAGATTTCAGGATAAGATAAATAAAATTGGAGTAAAAAGTTTCCATATAAAGGAATAGCTTCTACCTGAGTAGTTGGCCAGTGGCTTGAAACACTTTGTGGATCAAAAAGTACATTCGATAGTCTTCAGTGGTTACGTCATTGCCTCACGTTTGTCAACCAAACAATGTGTTTATAATTAGTGACAAATTACAAGGAAACGTACAGATATTTGCGGAGGAGGTTCAGTTTTACATCGTTTATACCAGAAACTAACTACCCGTGTAGCGACAAATATTGGTACGGGTATTCTATCTTATTCACCAAAGAACACCATACACAAAAACACAACAACAACAAATGATTTTAAATTTCCAAGATCACAGCTAACTAAAGGAATGTTAAATGAACAATGTTTCAGTGTGCTTTACACAAATATACCTGTCAAAAAATCAATTGTTGTGACTGCCAGAAACAAAGACGTAACGTTTCATCTCGACTGGCCATGTACCTTCTGAAGAGAAGACCTGAAAAGACGCCGACAAAATTTCCATCAGTATGAAATCAATTTGGCTGTGCTCCGTGAAGTTAATTAGTCTCCGTCAGTTATTCACTCGTCAGAGTCATACATTGGAAAACAATGAAAGACGCAACCACACAAGAAGCATCAAATGAAAACAGTTTGAAAAAGTAGTAATCAATTGTCATTAGGTTATATCGACTGTGGGCGACTCTCAACATGTCTACAAAATGAGTGTATTAATGAACATGTTCAGAATGTTATTGCGCATGTGTACGTATAAGTGCCACAATGCCAAAGAAATATGCACTGAGAGACTCCTATGCAAACATGTCACCAGTATGGATTTCTAGCAGTTGGGGATTAATTTTTTAAAACGTATGAAAAAACTTAAACAATACAGCCTGGTATGTGTATAACGATGGCAATTCCTCATTGTTCTCTGTAGATGGCGTTTTGGTGTAAGAATACAAACAGGCATGTGCACAAAGAAAAACAACACGGGAATATACGCTTTTTGTTCTTTGGTTAAACTGTTTCTGGTCTTCAACACAAATATTGACTAATGATGGTAATAGTACAACCATACCAGAGGAACTGAAAACTCTTTGAAAGGTAGCACGTGTGACAAAGACACTACGCCACGAGTTTCATATCACAGACTTGATCGTATTTGCATTGCCGTCGTTCAAGGATATGACATAAAGTGAATTTAGAGTAATGTTAGAATACTTACAAATATGTATACGGCGACATAAATGTTTGTGACTGAATACGTTAAGCTTAAATATGCCGTCTTCATTGTTCTCTGTTTATTTCAAAGCAAGAGAATACATGTGTAGTGAAATCAGAACTGTTAGTGATTTCTTCACAAACGAGTTCCTATGCACGTTAATTACTCAGGAGCTCAATAACACAATCATGGTAGAATGTATATTTGTGATTACCTACAGACACTCCTGCCTGGCAGCTCGTTATTCTCTGCAAAGTTGTTTGAAAGACATTCATACAGAAATCAATACCCATGTGTGACAATGGATCGGATATTTGCAAAAGGATGGAGATATCGAATTGTCGGTGAAACAACAAGGTGTTAAGAGGGAAGGAAATTACAGATTAATGACTATGTTTTGATTTTCTTTAACAGAAAACCAGTATGCAACATTTCTTGATAACTTTATTCCATTAAAAAAGACACTCGGGTGGCAATGCGTTTTAGGCCCACGAGTTATCAGCTGGAAAGCAAGGATCGCAGTAGGTACGAGAAGTATGGATCACATAATTGCTAAACATGTCAAATACTCTGAAGATGAGTGTTTGAATGGGATCGCGGTTTTCGAATTGATCTTTCACGATTTGTCCAAAGGTATAATAGATAAGCCGTGAGATATGTTTATTCAACCCTTGCTAAACATTCTAGTTGAGCTGGCAAACAATCGAGCTAGCGTCTGTTGTACTTCGTGGTACTTAAAGTGAGTGATTAAGTTAAAAGCATACGTCACACATTTATACTTTATGAAAAGCTGCCATCAAAGGACAGTATAACAACAAGATTATCACACATTTTAAAAACTATTTTTCAGAGCGTAACTATATTAAACTATCAATTGACAAACAAAGTATAAAATGGGGCCAGAGATCGCTTGCAACACTTACAACACTTCTGCTTCCTACACGTCTCCCCGGTAGCATTTATACCATCCCTTCAACTGCTGCTAGCGATTGAATGAATGTTAGCTATTTGTCTAATATATACAATACACTGCGATTTAAAACGGAGATAGGTCACGATATATAAATATATATGAATGCCTTTCAAACAACTTCGCAGAGAATAATGAGCGGCCATGCAGGAGTGTCTGTAGGTAATCACAAATATACATTCTAACATGATTGAGTTATTGAGCTCCTGAGTAATTAGGTCTGGGAAAGTTAGGCGAACAATGTGTATATGCCTGCTTGCCTGCGTATGTCTATTGGGACGATCAAAACTCTCAGTATTGCAACTTCATTTCTAATTCAAGATCGATTCTGTTCATATTGGTTGTGGAATACAAACTGTCAAAAGAGTTGAAACAGTTATCTCCTTTGAACTGCAAGATTACTGATCCACAAAATTGGCTGCACACGTGATTGTGTAAAAAAAACATACTTGCATGTAGATCGTTCACGGGAAACTTAAGTTAATTCTGCAAAAAATATAGAAACATGCAGGATTATATTGACCGAATGAGTGATTGTATTTGTGGCTGAGTGGGTTAGATCGTTGACTTTGTTTTTACGATTACTTACAAGACACTAACAGTGAGGTTTCAAATTTCGGATGGGACTCAACCTAACACAAGAGCTAGCATCTTTATTTACTTACCATGTGTTATCCCAAATATAACACATGTTACATAATTCTGTTAGGCTGTTGCCATTAGTTTAGACAACTTTGCCCAAAACGCAACGGCCCCCAGCAAAAACTCTTCATTTTGTCAATGACATTCCAAACAGAACTTGGTCCAAATTCTTCACTCGGATCGACATGATCCTGATCTGAACATTGCACAGATATATTTCTTGCACTTTTGTTGTCTGACTTCTGTGCTCTAATCGCGACATATACTTCAGTGATTACACGTTTAATTATGTATGTCGACAGATTTATATGTATACGTATGTCAATATTTACACTCTGTAAACATAAACACAAAAATATCGCTCAATGATATATCTACAAGACTTACCACGGGAGTCGTTGGAATGAGTGAGTGAGTTGGGTTTTACGCCGTTTTTAGCAATATTCTGTCAGGGCGGGGGACGCCAGAAATGGGTTCCACACGTTGTAACCATGTGGGGAATCATACCCGGGTCTTCGCCATGACGAGTGAACGCTTTAACCACTAGGCTACCTCACCGCCCCCTAGTCACTGGACCTTTGTTATTAGGCGAAGGACTTTTTAAGCAAATCGTTTTTATATCTCTGTTATCAGAATTCGTGGTTAATGATCATTGACATCGATCCTCTCCCTAGTCAGCGAGTCTGAACCCCGATCCCATCAGTCCAATTGCAGAACAATCAAGAAAAAAAAGTGGCTCTGGACAAAAAACTAAAACCTTTCTACAAGTTACTTCCATCATTCAATATTGCGTTTTGTCTAATTTGAACAGCCATGTTGCAATACAATATAATGCATACCAATATTCGATTTGAAATTAAACCAGTTATCTACTGCCTGAGTAAATATTAAAACGATAAAAGTGTTCACTGGTTGTGTTAATAACCCGTAATTGCACATTGCAGCCTCACACACAAAAGGTCAATAAGCGTGTCTGGTAACTGATGTCCCGCCCATCAAAACAGTACAGAGCGTTAGAAAGGTATTTAGGAGATATTTTCATCTAAATATAAATATTTGTTAT